CCACTCTATAATATTTAAAAAAACAAATTTATATTTAACACTCATATATTTCTTGCTTGTGCAATATAACACTAATAATGCTTTGTTTCTATGAACATTATATCATAAAGGTTTGTCATAAGAAGGATTGTAAAATGTAATCAATAGGTTAAATTTAATATCCACAATTTAAAAAGTTACTTATTTGACTCTTGAAAAGTTGAAACAAAAAATATTTCTATGTTTAATAAGTAATAATTGATTTGCATTTAAATATATATATAAACTATGTAAATCATAAATCACGCAATATTATCGTATCATCGTGAAACCTGAGAAGTACATGGTGGATGATATCCAAAGGAACTTTGTCTATAACAGAGATGCTCTGTATAATGCAATGTTTCGCCACCAGAGGGCTGTTTATGTACAGAAAGGATGGATGTCTACTCTTCATTACTCACAGAGAAAGACGTGTATTAATAATGTCAGAACTATTTTACTGTATGTCAGAAATATCTGTAACAGTGTTAAAGCAGCTACTGTTGTTGCTAGATCAACGGTAACCAGATAAGTGAAATGATTCCTTCTGACCAGAAGTGTAGCAGTTGACATTAGAGAAAAATTTGCCTGTGACCAGACGGTGAATTATATAGTTTCTTTGTTATAAACATTTTCCCTATCACCTTCCACGTATCCTCCAGTTTTCGCGATTCTCCGACAACGTTACGCGAATTTTGGATAACTTTCTTTATATATATATATATTTCTACACAAAACATTTATATAAGGTATATGTCGATCCGCAAATAAGTGAGTCTTATAAAGTCTTATAAAGTTATCGATCAGGGTTTAAACCATGCTTGGAATATTATTAAAACAAGAATGAAAAAACTGGACTAATTTATATATATTACATCTTTCTATATATATAATTTGAATTAAGTATAAAAAATTGAATACTCTTTCTATGAAATGCTTAATTCCCAGTAAACAATATTACAAACTCTAGAATTTTTTCTAAAAGGCTGATTACTCAGAATTAACAAAAATTCTATAAAATTCCTCTCAGTGAATATTTTAGGGGTGCATGGATGAAGGAATTAGCGCTCTGTAAGTTGTAATTCCAATTACAGGAGCGCCTACAAGAGTAGACACGTGGAACATTTACTCTTTACTCCAACATAAACAAACTTAGCATTTACGACCTCAAGAAAAACAAACAAACTAGTAACTAAACGAAAGACAAAGTAGACTGTTTCTTAATGGTGATGATGTAGTCGGTTAGCCTGTCTGTGAACATAAAAATACATACGAATAAGGTAACATCCATCTGTTAGGCTGAATCACGACGTGTCAAGCTGTGTGGAGGCCCTCTTCCTAACGGCACTGCGGCATGTCTGCGGACTTACAACGCTAGAAACCGGGTTTCGATACCCGTAGTGGGCAGAGCACAGATAGCCCATAATGTAGCTTTGTGCTTAACTTCAGACAACAACAGCTGTGTGGAGGTGGAATCAAACGTTGATTTTAAAAGGAGATTATCAGATTTTGAAAATATCTTGTTTTTCATATGTGTGAAACTTAGGTTTCAGTTGGTGAGTAATACTTAAAATGCTAGTTACTTAGACTGAAACTCTCTATTTACTTATTAATTACTTCCGGTCAAAGTAAGTTAATTATAGATATATATATATATCAAATGAGAAACTAGCTTCCAAACTAAAGAATCCAATTTTATACAAAAAAAACTGAGAAGAAATAATGGTATGAAACCACGGAGAACACAAAGAATACTTATAAGTATTGGTTTGCATTAATCTATCAGATGGGTAGTTTTATTACTAATATTTTCCGCCGTTTTCACAAACATACCTCAAGACGTTCGGCCAGCTTAGGAGATTTAGGTTTTTTCTTAAACAAAATTACTAACTTAAAAGTTGGTTGGAGATGGGAGTTTTTTGTCGCAAAGCACCTTGGCTATCTGCGCCAAAAGATTCGCTATGAACACTAAATAAAAAGCAAATGTAAAATATGATAAAGAGTAGAATAAATAAAAGATCAGTTCATTGTGTGTTTCTTGAGACAATGTTGAAAAATTAAATATAATTAAAAAGGCCTGTGGCCTGTAAAAAACTAAATACACAATCAATCTGGACAGTATCACCATCGCTAATGACACTGCTCGACGTTAAAGATAAACCCCGAAACAAAGTATGTCTAAAATAATGCTGCCGCTAGAAACAGCAAAAAAAAGTAATATGTGGCCAATTGTACCTTGAATGTCACAAAGGCCACTCATTGGCAGATCTGTCCCTAGTAAAAGAAATCTATGAGTGATGAAACTGTAGCCAGTGAGGAGTCTTCACAACACAGTTTCCTTCTTCTTTCCGATACTTAATGCCAAACAACAACAGTGGGCTTTATCTGGAAAAGCTTATTATTAAGTTGCTCACTTCAAATCGACTGCCAACTGGCGTGAAACTGTGCTTAATGACAGGTCAGAAGTCTACACAAGGGAAATGCAGCGCTGTGATAGCGCCAGAGCAAACGGATCTAATTGCGATGTCAGTAAGCTCTTATTACTACGAATACCAACATGGCCGGGAATTTAGAAAAATAAAATAGACGAATGATAAAAAGAAGTGAACCAGACGTTTCTGTATATTCAAGAGAACCGATTGAAAACTCACACGAAGCGATTCCAAAGTCGTCAAAGAACTAAGCGAGTCAGAATAGATAGTACAGTTAATATACTGCTTAGCTACTACATGATCCATAATGTTAGTGTAAAGTTAGAAAAACTAATTGCATCAATAAGGAATAAAACATAAGTTATATGATTCAACTCATGAAAGTAAAGCAATAAATAGAACCTTTTTAGAGATCTTACTAAAATAGCTTGAATAAACAAGTTACCAGACCACACCTCTCACCCACACAGCGATAGATTAAGGGTCGAACAGTGGGGTAAGAAAAGGCAGTCAAGTTTGTTTGAATTTCGCGCAAAGCTACACGAGGGTTATCTGCGCTAGCCGTCCCTAATTTAGCAGTGTAAGACTAGAGGGAAGATTACTAGTCATCACCACCCACCGCCAACTCTTGGGCTACTCTTTTACCAACGAATAGTGGGATTGACCGTAACATTATAACACCCCACGGCTGAAAGGGCGAGCATGTTTGGTGGGACACGGATTCGAACCCGCGACGCGCAGATTGCGAGTTGAGCGCCCTAACCATCTGGCCATGCCGGGCCAAAGGTAGTCAAACCAAAAAACTAAAACACTTCATTATTCACTTATTAGATCAACAAATAAATAATAAATTAATTTAAAAAATTTGGTTACAATCATGATGGTTGATAAAGGCGAATTTTCTGTAAAATGTTTAATAAGATAAGAAGTAGTAAATAGACTGGTGACTTTACCACAAAATTAATACTGTTAGTGTTCAAGTTATGGTAGAAAAAAACCTCCTTTACAAAAAAAAAGTAAATAAATGAATGAACTTTGTAATGTTGACCAAATGTTTTTGTACCCAATTAACTGGGAAATTATTTATTTGTTGATGTAAGTCACATTTGTCCGCCTTCTGTAAAAATAGCTGTATAAGTTACTTTTTCCACTTTTTTTTTCTTTTCTGCTGCTAATAAGGTCATTTACTAGTACCATGTAACACTGGGAATTTCTTAGGGTCAATTTAATGAAGCACAGTTTAGTATTACTCCCATGAGTGAAGTGGTGAGATACAAGACATAACTCTATTGAGCAAATCTGCTTTAATTGGAACGGAAATAGAAGTTTTGCGCATTTGTTTTAGGGGAGGGGTATATTTAGGTAATTTCGTTTAATGGGAAATTTGGTTTGTACACGATTTTATTCCCTTTATAAGTAAGTTTCCAGTGTGACTTTCTACACACTCTAAGTTTAATCAACCATTTACAACAACTACATGTACAAACTGACCTAGAACTGTAATTTAGAATTATTTTTTCCCATGAAGGAAAAATACATACAATTGACATGAAGTACACAACAAACGTTATGTTTCGATAAAGGAACAAAGCAGAATCATCCTGAAATGAAATTATATCTTGTGTTATTATTCCTAGAATTACTATCATTGTAAAAAGGTAATGTTTTTGTTTAGCACAAGGCCGCACAATTGACTATTAATCTGAGATCGCCGCAGGGATTGAACCTCTAATTTTAGCGATATAAATTCTGAAGACTATCACTGAGGACAAACATACTGTTTAATAGGAGTTATTTTTAAGTATAACGATCTCTCAAGTTTTCATAACAATTAGTGCAAAATCTAATAAACTATCATGTAAGATAAGTTATAAGCTTTATGTGTGAAAGTATAAGGCATAAGAAAGTAT